CCTCTGGCAGACCCCTAACCCCCTTTCCCTCCTCTGCACTGAACAATACAGGGTAGCGATACTCGATTTGACTGACACGTGTTAATGTCAAAGGCCGCCACTGTTCAGGGCGACCCGGGCGACGTTTAGCTATTTGATCGCTATTGAATTTTTTTTTTTTTTACAATAAATAAGGAAAAGTTTTTGTACCTAGCCTAGTTGTCCTCTAAAACAAATTTAAACCGGATTCCTACTAGGAGTAGGTGAATGGTACTCACCAGGAAGATGGCGACCCAGGCCATCCCGATGTTGTCGAAGGAGATGGTCCCTTGAAAGGGGTTGTCCCCTATGCTCTTGCACTCGCTGTAGTACTGGTTCCAGTTGACGCACCAAGTTTCGTTGTCCGAGTTGTCCGAGTTGGGCACGGCCGCTCCCGTGCACGTCATCGTGCTGTTCTCCGAGGCCTTGATGGTGATGGGCGGGATCATGGAGCAGAGGTGCATGCCGTGGTCCTCGGGCTTGGAGCAGATGTAGTCCCGATCCTGCTCCTGCTGGTACGTGTAGTAGATGGCGAGCGGCCTGCGGGGCAGGAGCGGGAGAAGGATGTAAGGGCGAGGCAGGGGAGGGGGCAGGGTTGGCCGGGTGCGCCCGCGTCATGTGTTCCGTCCCATGGGAACCGAACGACAACAATTGATGCCGTTTTCTCGGTTTATCTATTAATTTTATTTTCGACTTCAATTTCTTTCATGGGACATTCCGTAACAAGTCTTTAAAATTATTTTTTGTTGAAAATATACAACGCGGGCAGTACACTTTGCACAGCACATCGGCACCCACTGACTAGTGCAGTCGTCTGCTCGGTTATGCTTAAAATTACTTATGTCAATACCGAACAAAAGATTTCTAATATTTACAGAAAGCGATCATCTAGGCACACCAGAAATACCGAAAATAATTCTCCATGCACTTTCAGGAGCATTCCCTTCAATACGCAATCATTAACAACAGTGCTGAACTTTCCCACAATCGCAGCTCTAGTTATTTGAAAATACTGAAAGTCAAAGTATTTGTAAAGTGTTGACGTGTTGTGCTTTGTGGCATACTGGTCCATGCACCGCAAGAATGTATGCTACATGCCCTGAAGCTCAGCAAAAAATAATTACGTAAAAATATTACAGAACATACTCTGACAAAACAAAAATGTAGTGGACCCAAAACTATGTTTTTAAAAAAGTGAGCCGTCCCATAAAACGGAACACATATATTACCTGACAGGTGACAAGAAATAACACAATTTTTCTATTTACCCTCAACAATAGACAAAAATATTCAGATTAACAAAAAAACAACGACATTGGTCCACCACAGGGTGCTCTATTGCAACAAAACAGCCAGCCACTTTGTTTTGGCTTAAGGGGCAGGCTACACTACCCTTCTAAACATTACAGACAATCACACACAAGAAGAAATCACAATCCGAGCGACAATGAGCCAGAATACAATGGTAATAGACAGTTTCCCCGTCCTCAAACAGAAGCCATATAGACTGGAGCCCGCCCGACTTGGAGCCTATCTGTGACACTCGCGGCCACTCGGCATGCAGCGCCAAGCCATTCCCGGCCGGGTGCATTAGACCCGCATCTCTGGCATTGCGCCCAAACAGTACTCGGAGAGAGAGAAAAAAGGAAATGTGTATCACGTCTACTCACGGAGCTAACTTGGCGGACAGTAAGATGAGAAAAGGGAAACAAATATTTACGAATACAAATGCATAATGTTAACATAATAATGATCACAACTCGCGAAACCAATATACACAACGCGGTGATATGCAAAGACCGTGAAGGAGAATAAATCAGCGAGCAATTCCGGACCAACTCCGGCGAGAGAGAACACCCGCACAACTCGCCAGTCAGCCAGATCCAGCGAGCAGATAAATGATCCGAACCAACACTGCCGAGCAAACTCGGGCGGAGGGAGGAAGGGGGGCAGAGAAAGACGCGCGCTTCGTGATGGGCCCAAGTCGGAAGAGTTTCCAGGAATAGGAAAAAAACAGAGAAAGAGGAAAATATATATATACAGTACAAACACGCGCAGGCATCTGTTCATCGCATAGAAGAGAGGAGAAAACTATTTTCAAGATGAGTCTAGTTGTCACAGGCTGCAGGCAAAGGAAACCTGTAATGATAGATGTGAGCAGGCCTGACCAAGGGAGGTCCGTAAGAAGAGATGGTCCGCGCGCCGAGTCACACATAGCCCCCTCACGCACATCCCAAGATTTTTTTTCGTATTTCACATCCCAAACAAAACAAGAAAACGCATTTTCTGCACTGAAGTACTGCGAAATTTGGCGTGACGTGTAAAAGAGCAGCCGCTTGAGGAGAGGGTGGTCATTTTCACCTATAGCGTGCACACTTACAGGTATACGTGCGTGGCCATCAGGGAGGATGATTTAGCTTCAGCTTTTAGAAGATGCTTTAAAATT